ATGCTGCACCCGCACACTCAATGGTAATACATCCCTTAGAGCAACAGACCATGGGACACCAAAGGACCAACATTCAATCTGAGGAAATGCAGGACAAATAGGAGTGCATAATTATGAGGGGCACAGGGGGAGAGTTGCAGGGTAGGGAGGGGAGGAGACTGGGTTAGGGTTGGACATGGCGAATAGAGAATGAAACTAAATATATGCATGACGTTGAATGTAAAACAGGCTCTTAAAATAAAAAAAGTCAAATAATAAAAAATAAAACAGATTTCTAACTACTAAGCAAATGAAGGAGATAAAAACAAAACTCAAAAAAATAATTTTTGAAAAGGTAGGAAAAGAGGGAAAAGGACAAGAACAAATGGGAAAAATTGAAAACAAATAGCAAAATGTTACATTTAAACTCAAGCTTAGTGTTTAGACCACACTAAGATCTAAACGCTCAAATTAAAAGGAGAGATTCTCAGACTGGACATAAAAGCAAGACCACATGACATTGTATCTATAAGAAATTCACTCTTATATATAAAAATACTCAAAGCAAACCTGTATTTTGGATATAATTAAAGTTATGTTTTGGCTCCCATGGACTTTTTTAAATTGTCTTGAGCTTAAACTTGAACTTGCATATGAGCAGTTGATGATTTGTTTCACAGTCAGCTCCTGGCCTTGTTTTAGCTGAAGATATTGAGCTTCTCCATCACCTCTTTCCACAGATGTAGTAAATCTGATTCTTGTGTATTCCATCTGGTGAGGTCCATGTGTATAGCCACTGTTTATGTTGTTGAACAAAGGTATTTGCAATGAGTAAGTAATTGGTCTTGCAAAATTCTATCCTGCAATCTCTGACATCATTTCTATCACCAACACCATATTTTCCAACTACTGGTGATTCTTCTTTGTTTCCAACTTTCACATTCTAAGCACCAATAACAATCGATACATCTTGTTTGCATGTTTAGTCAATTTGACTGCAGAAGCTGGTAAAAATCTTCAATTTCTTTTTCTTTGGCTTTAGTGGTTGATGCATAAATTTGAATAGTAGTAGTATTAACTGGTCTTATTTGCAGGCATATGGATATTATCCTATCACTGACAGCACTGTACTTCCAGATAGATCTTGAAACATTCTTTGTGATGATGAATGAAACATTCTTTATGATGATGAATGTCATGCCATTCTTCTTCAATTTGTCATTCCTGGCATAACAGATCACATGGTTGCCTGATTCAAAATGGCCAAAACCAGTCCATTTCAGCTCACTAATGCCTAGGACATCAATCTTCATGTGTTGTATTTAATTTTTGACTTCCAATTTTCCTACATTCCTACTTCTTACATTCCATGTTCTGATTATTAATGGATGTTTGCAGCTGTTTCTTCCATTTTGAGTCATGCCACATCAGCAAATGGAGGTTCTGAAAGCTTTACTCCATCCACATCATTAAGTTCGACTCCATTCTGAAGCTGCAGCTCTTTCCCAGTCCTATTTTGAGTGTCTGTCGACCTGAGGAACTCCTCTTCCAGCACTATATCGGACAATGTTTCAGGGCTATTCATAAAATTTTCCAGCAATATATCAGACAGTGTTTCACTGCTATTCATAAGGTATTCAGTGACCAATTCTTTCAGAACTGGATGCCCCCTTCTTCTTCCGAGTCTGTCTTAGTCTGGAAGCTCCACTGAAAGCTATCTACCATAGGTGACCCTGCTGGTATTTGAAATACCGGTGGCATACCTTCCAGACTCACAGCAACACACAAGCCACCACAGTATGACAAATTGACAGATGAGTGTATTTCTCCTGAATTTACAGACCATCTAAAGAATAGATTTGATGCATTGAACACCAATGACCAAAAACCAGAGGAATTGTGTGATGACATCAAGAACATCATCCATGAAGAAAGCAAAAAGGTCATTAAAAAGACAGGATAGGAAGAAAAGACCAAAACAGATGTCAGAAGTTACTCTCAACTTGTTCTTGAACAGAGAGTAGCTAAAGCAAATGGAAGAAATGACAAGATAAAAGAGCTAAATAGAAGATTCCAAAGAGTAGCTCGAGAAGACAATTATTATAATGAAAATTATAATTATGACAATTATTAAAACATAATTTTATTATAAGTTATATAATAATATAAGTTATAATTATAAGTTAAGTTATATAATTATATCATTATAAGTCAATTATTATAATGAAATGTGCAAAGACCCGGAGTTAGAAAACCAAAAGGAAAAACATGCTCAGCATTTCTCAAACTGAAAGAACTGAAGAAAAAATTCAAGCCTTGAGTTGCAATAGTGAAAGATTCTAAGGGCAAAATACTGAATGATGCAGGAAGCATCAAAAGAAGATGGAAGGAATACACAGAGTCACTGTAGCAAAAAGAACTGGTCAATGTTCATCCATTTTAGGAGGTGGCATATGATTGAGAACCAATGGTACTGAAGGAAGAAGTCAAAGCTGCACTGAAGGAACTGGTAAAAAACAAGGCTCCAGGAATTAATGGAATACCTATTGAGATGTTTCAACAAATGGATGCCATGCTTGAGGCACTTACTTGTCTATGCCATGAAATCTGGAAGACAGCTATGTGGCCAACTGACTGGAAGAGATCCATATTTGTACCTGTTTCAAAGAAAGGTGATCCTACAGAATGTGGAAACTATCAAACACTATTATTAGTATCACATGCAAGTAAAACTGTGCTGAAGATAATTAAAAACAGTTGCAGCAGAAGAGGCTGTCGTTCGAACACAACGAGGGGACACTGCATGGTTTAAAATCAAGAAGGGAGTGCATCAGGGTTGTATCTGTTCACAATACTTATTAAACCTATATTTCTGAGCAAGTAAATCAAGAAGCTGGACTATATGAAGAAGAATGTGGAATTAGGATTGGAGGAAGGGTCATTAACAACTCATGATATGCAGACGATACAACTTTCCTTGCTGAAAGTGAAGATGAAGTACTTACTGAGGAAGACTAAAGACTGCAATGTGCAGTAGGATTACATCTCAACATAAAGAAAATGAAAACCCTCACAACTGGACCAATAAGCAGCATCATGATAAACGGTGAAAAGACTGAAGTTGTCAAAGATTTTGGATTACTTGGTTTCACCATCATCACCAATGGGAGCAATAGTCAAGAAATCAGACAACATACTGCATTGCACAAATCTGCTGCAAAAGACCTCTTTAAAGTGCTGAAGAGCAAACATGTCTCTTTGAAGACTAAGGTGCACTTAACATAAGCCATGGTATTTTCAGTAGCCTCATATGCATGTGAAAGCTGGACAATGAATAAGGAAGATCAAGGAACAGTTGATGCTTTTGAGATGTGATGTTGGTGAAGAATACTGAAAATACCATGGACTGCCAGAAGAATGAACAAATCTGTCCTGAAAGAAGTGGAATGCTCCTTGGAAGCAAGAATGGCCAGACTTCATCTTACCTAATTTGGTCATGTTGTCAGAACGGACCATTCCTTGGAGAAAGATACCATGCTTGGTAAAGTGGAGGGTCAATGAAATAGGGGAAGGCCCTCAATGAGGTAGACTGACACAGTGGCTGCAATGATAGTCTCAGATATAGCAAGGATTGTGAGACTGGCACAAGTCTGGGAAGTGTTTTGTTCTGTTGTACATAGGGTTACTATGTGTCGGAGCCAACTCGACAGCACCTGACAACAACAACAACAACAACAAAATGAAACCCACTGCTATTGAGTCAATTCAGACTCATAGCGACCCCCACAGCGTTTCCAAGGCTGGAAATCTTTGTGGAAGCAGACTGCCTCATCTTTCTTCATAGAGTGGCTGGTAAGTTTGAAGCACTGACCTTTTGGTTAGCAGCTCAATGCCTTAACCACACCACCACCAGAGTTCCTTAAATATGAAGATAGACTAAAAGTAAGAGGATGGAAGATGATATACCATGCTAACACAAATCAAAAGCCATCTGGAGTGGCTATATTAGTATCAACAAAGTAGATTTCAAACAATATTAGCAAGGGTTGTGTAATTTAATAATGATAAAATGAATCAGTGCATCAAGAGTATGTAATTCTAATAAGAGAGCTTCAAAGTACTTTAAGTAAAAGCTAATATAACTGAAACAACCAGCACATCAACAATTATAATTGGAGATTTCAATAATTCTCTCTCAATAATCCGAGGAAACAGAAAATTAGTGAGAATACAGAAGACTCAAATAACATTATTTATCAATTTGGGTCAACTGATATTTATATATACTTCACCCATCATCAGACTAGATCTTCTGAATTGTACATGAAACATTTACAAAAACAGACCATAATCTAGTCTATAAAAAACTGTCAAAATTTAAAGGGACTGAAATAATGTTCTCTGATCGTAATGAAATTAAGTTAGAAATCAGTGATAGAAAGATCTGAAAAATATCCAAATATTTGGAAATAAAACAACACACTTTTAGATAACCCATAGACCAAAGAGAAAATTCACAATGATATTAGAAAATAATTTGAATTGAATAAAAATAAAAACACAACATATCAAAATTTATGGGATGCAGCTAATGAAGTGCTTAGAGGGAAAATTATAGCATTAACCACAAAAACCAAAAAGGCTATAAAATGAACGATCTAAAGTTCCAACTTGTAAAACTAAAAAAAGAAAGAAAATTAAGCCCAAAGTAAACTGAAGGAAAAAAAAAAAAAAAAAGGCAAAAATCAATGAAGTAGAAAATTGAGAAATGAGAGAGAAATCAATAGAACCAAAAGTTGGTTCTTCAAGATCAATAAAATTGATAGGCATCTATCTAGTAGACTGACCAGGGAAAAAAAAAAGATGACACAAATTACCAGTAAGAAGAATGAAAGAGTAGGCATCACCTACAGATACTAAAATGATAAGGGAATATTATGAGATAAATGAAAATTTTCAGCAATATGGTGAAGCACTATTATCTGTCTACCATGAGCATGCACATGTAGATCTAAACCTACCTGAGCCAGAGTGTCCTTCTGGGGAATCACCCATTGCAGGAGTTACACTGGGTGCTGCTGTGGATAACTGAATTTGCTTTGCCTTAGTCTGAATGCTGTCGGGCTCAAACTGGTTCCCTTCTGTAGACTGCTGAGAGTGGATCAGAGAGATGTAGAACTCTTCCAATGACTTGGGCAGTGTGGAAGAATCCAAAGAACCTTTTAAGTCTGGTTGCTGCAGAGTGGGAGAAACGAAGCAAAAACATAAAAAGTAACTGTTAATATCACAAGGATGACCTCTATTTCTTTACTTATATACAAAACACAAATATTTTCTTTATCACAATAAAACTCTCACTTCTAACAACCTAGATATGGTCTAGAAAAAACAAGTACTTCTCTAACTTAATAACAATAATTCAATTCAAGAAACATGTGTTGAATATATACTATGACTAACCATAGTTCTGAGTGCTGCCACACTCAGAACAGGAGGAAATGAGAGAACTGACATTCTTTAAGCACTCATTGTCTGGCAATGCTACCTCATATTTGCATGTGTTTCTTCATTTAGATGTGAGAAAAAGCATTCAGAGTAGGTGTTCTTAGGTCTTCTTTATCATTACCTGTTTCATTTAGCATAATGCTCTTTATGAGTAAATTATCCAAGGTCAATCAGTAAATGACAGGGCAGAGATTTGAATGCATATGTTCTCTGTGCTCTACCACACCACTTTCTAGTAAGATACAATTTCTGTTCTTAAGTAGCTCACAGTCCTCAGTCAAGAAAAAGGCAAAATGCAGCTAGCCATGAAAGAAGGCATTAACTGCATCCTGCATTATGAATAAATGCTAGGAAAACACAACGGAGTTAAAGGAAAGCTCATCAGAAGTGACAAAATGGAGTATTAAGAACCAGGTTTTGAGAGAAGAGGAATTTCCTGTCTTTGTTTCTTAGCTCTGCTGTAACATACCACAAGTAGGCGACTTTAACAAAAGGAAATTTATTTTCTCACAGTTTAAGAGGCTCTCTCTCTCACTGCCGTCAAGTCGTCTAGAAGTCCAAGCTCAGGGCACCAGCTCTTGGGAAAGTCTTTCTGTCTGCTCTGAAGGAAAATCCTTGTCTCTTTCAGCTTCTCATCCTTGGTTCCCTGGTGATCTCCACATGACCTCAATCTTTCTCCATTTGTGCTTCCTTACTTCTGTGCCTAATCTCCTCTTCATATCTCAAAAGTAACTGATTTAAGATACACTCCACCCTGAGATGGCCTCATTACCATGAAGAAAACCCTATTCCCAAATGGGATTACATACAGAAGAATAAACCAAAAACCAAAAACCAAATCCATTGCTGTTGAGTCGATTCCAACTCATAGCAATCCTATGTTGTTGCTGTTAGATCCCATCGAGTCATCTCTGACTCATAGCAACCTTATACACAGCAGAACAAAACCCTGCCTGGTCCTGTGCCAGCCTCATGGTCCTTGCTATACCTGAGCCCATCACTGCAGCCACTGTGTCTATCCCTTCTTCGTTGACCCTCCACTTTACCAAGCATGATATCCTTCTCCAGGGAATGGCTCCTTCTGATAACATGACAAAAGAGGTGAGATGAAGTCTGGCCATTCTCACTTCCAAGGAGCATTCCGACTGCACTTCCTCCAGGACAGATTTGTTAGTTCTTTTAGCATTCTTCTCCAACACCACAACTCAAAAGCATCAACTCTTCTTTGGTCTTCCTTATTCACTGTCCAGCTCTCACATGCGTAAGAGGTGACTGAAAATACCATGGCTTGGGGGCCTATAGGTCCCTACAGGACAGAATAGATCTGCCCCAATGGGTTTCCAAGGCTATAATCTTTATGGAAGCAGACTGCCACATCTCCCCCCACCATCCCCCGAGCAGCTGATGGGTTAGAATTGCCCACCTTCCAGTTAGCATCTGATCACTTAACCACTGTGCCACAAGAATAGGGGATTTTGAACACATATTGTTGAGGAACACAATTCAATCCATAACACTTCCCGAATGGAGATTTAATTTGGGCTAAAGTGATCAGGCTACCAAATTTTAACTATTAGGATTCAAAGCCTTTATTTTATCCTACCATAGTGTCACTGGTTAAATTGGTTTGTTGTTGTCATTAGCTGCTGTTGAGTCAATTCCAACTCATGGTGATCCTGTGTGCACAAAGGAGAACTGGTCCATAGGGTTTTCAAGGATGTGAAAGTAGGTATAGTCTATGGTAAATTAACAGCGTTTATCTTCTGTGATGTTAACTGGCATTAAAATGACTAAAGAGAGGCCCATCAGGACCAGACTATCACACACTGACCTAAGTGGCTTATAGTCTAGGATTTCCTAGAGTAGCTAAAACAATAATTATATGAACAGAAAAGGTAAGATTTGTATGTTTTTCAGCTCATACGTAGTAAAAAAAACCCAAAAACCAAACTCACTGCTGTCGTGTCAGATCTGACTCATAGCAATCCCTCCTTGAGTTTCCGAGGCGCTATCACTACAGAAGTAGATTGCTCAATCTTCCTTCCGAGGAATGGCTGGTGGGTTTGAACCATCAGCCTTCTGGTTAGCAGTCAAATGCCTTAGGTATCAGTTAATAGTCCTTCAGTGGCAAAAGTCTATAGTGATACATTTTCAAAAATCACTGGAAGGAATGTGTCTTATACAATTATATAATATACAAATGGCTGTGTGTACAAACTTTTTCTGCCAGTAAACACAAAACTCTGAAACTCCAGATAAAAAAACAAAAACTAAACCCACTCCAGATAGCTATATTATATACTATTTTAGGAAACAAGAGACCTGGTTTCAAATTTTCCTTAGCTAATGCAACTCCTATGTTGTGCTTTAGTTACTTTTTAAGTTTATTCTCACTTAAAGGCAGTCCAAGCATAAAGGAAGTTTTTCTATAAAGCTGTGATGACAAGTAAATAAATATTTTTCAATATTACACATTTTTAGAGCTAGAAAAATCACTAGTCTAAAACAGTATTTGAAGATGAACAAACTGAGCTTTGGTTCTTATCCCAGATCTGCAGAATCAGAATCTGTATTTTAATAAATTCTCAGTTAATTTATAGGAATATTATAGTTTGAGAAACACTGTTCTACCAAATTTACTCCTCTGTAGTTGTTAATGGGGACAGTGCTGGTTCACTGGTAGAATTCTCACTTTCTATGAGGGAGATCTGCATTCATTTCCTGGCAATGTACCTCCTGCACAGCTACCATCTATATCTCTCAATGGAGGCTTTTGTGTTGCTGTAATGCTGAACAGGTTTCACTGACACTTCACACTAAGATGGACTAGGACGAAAGGCCTGGCATCTGCTTCTGAAAATCAGCCAGTGAAAACAGTGGTTTAAGTGGCAAACAATCATGGGGATGGCACAGGACTGGGCAGCATTTTCTTCCATTGTGCATGGGGTTACCATGAGTTGGGGGCCAACTTGATAGCAGTTAACAACACAAAACCAGTTATCAATGACTGACTCCTCATAATTGTTTGGAAACATACCTTAATGGAACTAGAAGTTAATGTCAGATCTTAAAAAAAAAAAAAAAAAGTTCATGTGATCAGGTATGTCCTGGCAGGGGAGAGTATGCCTACAATCATGTATAGGGTTGGCAGATGATGTTTCTATAAGCATATTTGTATGTTCTGTAAGAATGTCCAGGTATATATTAGAGCTTGCAAGGGACAAGGTTGTGGTGACTTCGTGGCCACAGCCAGCTACCCAGAGGAATAGAGTAGTCCCTGTGGGCTTAGGACCATGGTCTCAGGGGACGTCAAGCTCAACTGGCATAACATAGTACACAAAAACATTGTTCCACATCCTACTTTTTGTGAGTAGTAACTGGGATCTTAAAAGTTTGCAAGCGGTCATCTAGATGCAATGATGGGTCTCTCTTCATGTTGAGCAAAGAAGAAAGAAGAAAACCAAAGATGCATGGAAACAATTAGCCAAAGGGACTGGTAGACCATGTGATCCTCAGCCTATATGACCATGAGTCCAGAAAAACTAGAAGGTGTCTGGCTACCACTGTCAACCACTCAGAGGGGGATCTGTGTAGGAGATCGTGGATAGAGTGGGAGAACAACGTGGAACAAAACTCAAAATTTTATTAAAAAAAAAAAAAAAAAAAAAGATCAGGTTTCCTGGTCTGATAGAGTCTGGTGAAACCACTGAGACTATGGCCCCTAGCTGCCCTTCAGGTCTGGAATTAATTCACTCCTGTGGCTTCCAGCCAAATAATAGACTGCATGTGGGCTGAACATTTACATCAGGTAGATATGGAGAGATCAATCATGGAGGAATAGCTGGGGGGTCATGAGTGCACAGGAGGGAAGGACACAAGGAAGAGGTAAATATGGGGAGGAGGGAAGAAGAGAGATGTTAATTATGGGAAATTGCAGTCAGTGTCATGAGACAAAGTATGTGTGAACTGCTGTATGGAAAATGAATTTTCTCTGTAAACTTTTACCCAAATTACAATAAAAAGAAAAGTTTATGATTTCTGAAATATGAACATATGCTATCAAAACTACTGCTCAAAGCTATAATGATATACTGCTTTATATACACTAGGATGGCTATAGTAATAATAACAACAACAATAATAATAAGCAGATAATAACAAGTGTTGGCAAGGATGCAGACAAATTAGAACACTTACACATTACTGGTGGCACTATAAAATGATGCAGCTGCTATGGAGAATAGACTGGCAATTCTTCAAAAGGTTAAACAGAGAAATACCATGTTGTTGTTGTTGTTGTTATGTGCCGTCGAGTCAAATCCGACTCATAGTGACCCCTCCTTGGGTTTCCGAGGCAGTATCACTACGGAAGTAG